GTGGGGCTCGGGCCACGCGTCGCAGTACGCACACCTCGCCCGCGCGCTCGTGCGCCGCACCGACGCCACCGTCCTCGTCCTCTCGTACCGCCTGTACCCGGCCGCCTGTATGCGCGGCCAGCACGCCGACGTCGCCGCCGCCCTGCGCAGAGCCCGCGCCCTCTTCCCCGCCCGCCCGCTCGCCGTCCTCGCACACTCCTCCGGCGCACACCTCGCCGCCCTGGCCCTCCTGCGCGCCGCGGAGGAGGACGCGCCCGCGCCCCCGCTCGCGGACCTCCTCATCGCATCTGCAGGGCCGTACCATCTCATGCACCACTTTTTGTTCGAGGCACGCAGGGGCGTCGCAGAGGTCTCCCCCATGCTCCCGGCCGCGCGCGCAGACGCCGACCCACGCCAGTTCATCGTCACCTCGCCGACCTGCGTGGCGGAGACAATGCGCACCCCCTTGTACGAGGTGCCGGGCTTGCGCCAGAGGCCCGCCGTCCTGGAGGGGCAGCTGCCAGCGACCAACTTGCGGCTGCCGCCCGCCAAGGCGGGACAGGGGGGCGCCCTCTTCCCGAGGACTTATGTCGTCACGAGCTCGTGCGATACCGTCGTGCCGTGCTATAGCTCCATTCGATTTGCGGCGGCGTTGCGGGAACGGGGGTTGGATGCTGAGCTTCTCGTGTATGACGGCATGGAGCACGTTGAATTTGTCACAGACTGGTTCGGTGGTGGGGGTAGGGATCGAAGTGCCGTTTTTGATGTGGGCGAGGCGGATCGGGAGAGGAGGAGGAAGTACAGGACGATACTGCATGGGGAAGCGATGGCGGACGTCTGTGAGGGTGGGGACGCAGGAGAGGGGTCGGCTTATGTTAGGGATGTTGTTAGGATTTTGAACGAGCTGGTTGGGAAGGACCACGAGGAGGGAGAAGGGGAGACCCGGGGAAGCGACAAGGAGAGCAACGAGGATGAGCCTGTTTAAACAACGTGGAAAGCGTGGCTGACTGCGAGATGTTGGGGTGTGACGTGCGGTGCGCCAGGTATTTCGCGATAGGGTGCACATGTCAGTGTAGTTTTCGGCACAAGGCGCGACCGGTAGAAGGAGACATCCGTGTCTATGACCAACCACGCATCGCGCCGCTCCGCCTAGTGCAGTATAGCCTTTAATTCCATACTAGCTCCCTCTTCTTTTCGTCGCAGCGGGCTGCCATGAGCCCGGCTGAAAGTCCTCTCCCGAGCCCTGTGCAGTGCAAAGAGTGCAAAGAGTGCAAGCCGTTGCGCATAAAACCATCAAAACGTTAGTTGACATCTTTCTTCCTCCCGCATTGCACTGGAGCGCTCTCTCGTTACCCTTACCGTTGGGTTCTCTTCGGGATTCATCGCCCCTCCCTCGCCACTGGCTTTCACAGCCGCCCCCCCTTGCGACATTCCCGACGCCACCGCCGCATCCGACGGGGAAGCGGCATTGGTCAGCCTCATCATGGCCTCCTTCCTGCGCCTCGCCCTGGCCTCCTCCTCAGCCGCTTGCAACGGCTGGCCGCCCGCAAACTGCCTGAGCCTCTGCTTCTCGTCCTCTGCTTCAAGGATGGCGACCTTCTGCGCGAGGCGTTGCTGGTTCGCTTCCGACATGGCCAGCTCCTCGCAAGTTGGGGTTTCATCGCGCCGGTTGTGCAGCCAGCTCCACCATTCGATGGCCATGCGGTCGGAGGAGTGCGTGATGTTCTGGTCTTTGTACTCGACATAGCGCCGCTCGGGCTTGTCAGAGGCGATGAACTCAGTGTAAAAGAAATGGTGTTCGTCCTCGCCGACGAGCTTGCGCGAACGCAGCCAGTCCCATGTGCGAGAGAGGCGGGTGCGCCACATTGCGAGGAATGCTGGTTCGGTTTCGAAATTGTAGTGGGGAGGAATTATGTGGGGGCCACATCACACTACATGACTAGGCGTAAAAATGAGACTGTTTTGGGTTGAAAGCCTCCTAACACGTAAATTTGAAGCATACCGTTTCAGTTCGAAAGGTGGTCACATCCAGCGTCGCCCTCCCAGAAGTACTGGATCGGAATATTCCCCTCCAGTTATTCATGGAAACCGACATCCTGCCCTGACGGCAACGGCCTTGGAACATGCGAAGATTTCAAATCAGTCTGTAGATTTAAATCTCCTGTCAACATCTCCTTGCCGTGGTCTCGCCGAGAATCGCCCATTCCTTGCATGCATTCGTCGACATTTCGGTACAGTAGAAGTAAAACGCTCCGTTCACAACCAGGCCGCGCTTCCGTGGTGTGATCCGATTGCTGAAATGCCCATTCAAGCTAATCGTAGAGTTATAAGAAAGCATTGCGAGATCATGTGTTTACAAACCGAATCTTCGTCGCCGAGCAACGGATTTGGGAAAGCACGCGGTCGGTTGTCAAACAAAAACTGTAGCAATGACTTCACCTGCCTTCTTGTTCCTTGTATGCGAAGTTTGAATCACCTGTATGTTCCATTCGCGTCATGCTGTGTAGGCCAACAATTCGCACCGCGAAGGCTACGGATTAAGACACGAGTGAGTTGCCCTCGTCGTGGCTGATGGCACAGTGGAAAAGTGTTCCGCCTCAGTATTCCATGAAGAGTTAGTTAATGGTTAGTTTACTTATCGCTTTCTCGCTCTACGAAACCCCGAGCTACATGCGATACCATCCCCTTCTCTTGATGTCTGGCCTCTACACAGAGGCCGAATACCTTAGGACGCAGGTTCAACGTCCATGTTAGACCCTGACCCGTCTGCACTGTCCTTATCTTCCGTCACCTTGCCCCTCTGATCTCCTTCCTCCGGCGAGGCTTTGCCTTAGGATGGTGCCTCAGTCATTTTCTCATCCTCCTCTTCCTCCGTCCGCGTCTTGTTCAATCCTTCTATTTGCTTTTCCGGCTGCTGCTCTTCCGGCTGTTTCTTCTCCGGCTGTTGCTCTTCCGACGGTTGCTCTTCGGACGGTTGCTCTTCTGGCTGATGCTTTTCGGGCTGTTGCTTTTCCGGCTGCTTTGAGCCCACTTCGTCGCTCCCTGACCCATCGTCTTCGACGGACACATCAACTTTCTGTCGTACTTCCAGCGGTTTCTTTCCTCCGACGTCAGCAGAGGCTTTTTCACTGACCTTTTTTTCACCACTTGCAGGCTCATCCTCATCTGAACTCGAGTAGCTGTCAGAACCGTCAGAATCATCCGACCCATCGGATGCGTCGCTCGATTCCTCAGCGTCCTTCTCCCGTCGTGGCACTTTCTTATGGGTCAGCGTCTTGCCTGCCGCTGCCAATCTATCCTTTTTGACAGCCTCTGCTTCGGTGACTGCCTTCTTGTCACTGCCCGACACTTCCTTGGCCTTTCCTTCGCCATCATCCTTTGAAACGTCCCCGCGAGGTTCGTCCTTGGATTCCGACTCGTCAATGTCATTCATCACAGCCATCCCTGATCCATCCTTCTCAACAGGCTTTGACCCACTTGAGCGAACTTCTGGAACGACAGTTGATTCTGGATCCCTCTCAACAACATTCTTATTCCTTTGCGTCTTGGGCTCTACTTCCATGGGCTCCGCATTCTCGGCATCTGCTTCCCTAGCTTCCGCTTCCCCATCCCCTTGGCCAGCTTTTGATGTCTCATCTTCGACAACGGGTTTTTCTTCTCCTGGTTTCTTTTTGGTTGGCTCCTTTTCAGCTGGAGGTCTCACTTCTTCCTCGTCCTCCTCTTGATCGCTTGACGGTTTCGGTTTATCAGGAGATTCATCCCCCCCTGCCTTGGCCGCACCTTCGGCATCTTTTGGCTCTGTATCCGGTTCGGCAGTGGCTCTCTTTGGGCTGGTTTCAGAGTCGTGGTCGTTCTTGGAAGGGGTTAGGTCGTCGGTCTCCACCGGCTTGGAGGCAGCGGCCTTTTCGCTCTTGACCAACTGGACATCATCCGGCCTATCCGCGGAGGCATCATCAATCTCAATGACCTCTTCAACCTCCGGTTTTGGCGATTTATCATGCATCTCTTGAAGGTCTTCCTCTCCGCCCTCTTTACTGACTGATTTCGCCTTGTCCTGAACAGCTTCCACGTCTTGGACCTCTACCGGCTCCACGTTGCCCTTGGGACTGGCAACTTGCACCTTGGCTAGCAATCGTTCTATGCCTGCAACTCGCATGTCCACTTGCTCCATAAACACCTTCATATCGCTGCGCGTATCATCAACAGCCAGCAAAACGCGTTGCAAATGGTCCGATCGATGCACAGAGCGCTCCACGGCCGACAAGTGTCGCGACAGTCTCAACGTGATAGTGTCCCTCAAATCGTCCACCATGGATCGTACCTCGGTACTAAACGCGTGGAAGTCATCCCGCGAAGCCCCCCCACTTACAAGAACCGGCATATCATGCTGCGCCGCTGCGGCTTTCCTTTTTTTAGTGGCCGGCGTCTCTACATGCCTCGCCGCGCCGCGTTTCCCCTTGGCAGAGCCGCCCCGCGATGCCTTCACACGCCACTTAAGCCCATGCTCAAGATTGACCCACTGGTCGGTACCATCCTCGTCGTACACGACGTGCACGTTTGCGCCTTGGCACGCCTGAATCGTGGCCGCAAACCACTTTCTGTAGTTTGGCCAGTACAGCTCGATGGTGGTGCCCACGGTGGGAAAGCCCTTCGAATCGCCATTGGTGTCCATAGCGGTCCCCGCGGAGGCGCGCTTTCGCTTTCCGACCGACTGGAGTGAGCTGCCGGCCTTCTGCCTGGAGATGCTATGCTGACGTAGGGTATCCTCGACGTCGTAAAACAGACGGCGGCGGGCGGTGACGGAGTCCTCCGCAGCCTCGAGCAAGAAGCGAGCGTGCTGAACAACCCAAGAGAGCTTGGGCCCCTTGTTAAACGCGGCCGTGTTTCGCGCGAGCAGGCGCATATCCTCGAGATAGTCCTCGGACGCCGCGTAGCCCTTGGCCTTGATCTTGTCCCTGATCTGGTTCAAAAAAATGGGCCTCTTGACAATGTCGGTGTAGGCCTTGGTGGCAAGCGGGACGGTGAAGTCGACACCGGTGTTCTTGGGGCGCGAGAGGTATGTGGCGCCCTTGGGAGCCGTCTCGCCGGTGCGGACGCGGACAATCTTGAGGGGGGGCCCGTTATCTGCAATGTAGGCCTTCGCGTCGCGGACTTCCTTCTCGCATTCGAGCAGGAGTTGGGAGAGGGCGGTCTCGGGGTCGCCTTTGAGAGACTCTTGACGACGGCGTTTGGCCTCGGTCTCCGCTTCGGCCTTCTGGTCGAGGTCGCGCAGCTCGCGCATGATGCGGGCCTCCTCCTCCTCCAGGTCATTGAGCTGGACCTGGGCATCGCGGCTGGACATGATCCTAGTGGCGGGGTAGGCGGGAGGCGGAAGTGCTGGTGCGGACACGGTGGGTTTGGCGGGAAGCAAGGGTGCGGACGGATGTGCAGCAGGGCGGGAGGGTTACTGAGAAGCGAGGTTGATCACAAGGATCAAATTATACGCAGACGGAAAACGGTACTTTTTGGGGCTTGGTGCCACATGTAATTACGACGCTGGCGCTACAATTACAGGCCAGTGGCCGGTCTTGTGTGACCACAACGCGGGAACTGCCACAGCGCAACCAAATCGTCTCGATACAGAGACACGTCTTATTCATGAGAGCCTGATGATGACGAAATTTACCGCCTTACGAGTTTTTACTCTCACCCGCTCTAGTCTACCAAAACTCTGTCATTCAAAAGTTGCTCCCCGTCTACCTCACTCTACAACTTCCGTCTCAGCCTTTTTAACCTTCTCCTCCCCCTGCCCCTCCCCATCCCCGCTCTCTGCCACCTCTGTCGCCTTAGCCTCCGTGTCTATACTCTCCGTGTCAATACTCTCCGTGTCAATGGTCTCCGCGTCAATAGTCTCCGTGTCCCCCCTGGCCTGGTCGGTTAGCACGTCCACGTTGGCCCCCATCTTCTCCAGTTGTTCGTTCAGGTTCCTTTGCATATCCTCCTGTGTCAAATCGGCCATCTCATCATTGAGCGATGGCGCCGCTTGTTCCGGATCCGGCACCACTACCTCCGGCGCTGCGATATTTGGCGACACTAACGAGCTCACGCGTCTGGCGAACACCGCCGTGTCATCCAATGGATATCCGGCCGTCAGCAACGCCAGCTCGTAGACCAGTGTGCATGTTTGCTTCAGCTGGTCCTCGTCTCCGCCGGCTGCGCCTTCCATCTGCGTCTTGATGTCCTTCACGATTGGGTGCTTGGGGTTGATCTCCAGCGTCCGAGACTTGACCATAAAGCCCGACATCCCAGGGTCGTTGAGATTTGCGGACCCAACTTCCTTCATGTACCTCTCCATGGTCGGAGAAATACCAAACGAAGACTGCGTGATCGTTGACGCCGATTCAGTTAGGCGGTCGCTCACCTGCACCTTACCGACCTTGTCGCTGAGCAATTTCTGGAAGTATTCCACCACCGCCTTGTATTCCTCGACCAGCGCCTTGTCCTCCTTCTTCTCCTCGTCGGACTTGAGCTCGCCAAGATCCAGATCGTCCTTGGTCACGTCCACAAACTTGAACATGGTGTCGTCCTTGTCGTCAGCATTGCGCTTGGTCTTGAAAGTGATCACCTTCTGCACTGTCATCTCGTCCACCGGTTCAGTCAGGAACAGTACCTCGTAACCGTGCTTGCGAAGCCTCTCCATCGCTGGTGCCGATTCCCCGGCCGCTCTTGAATCAGCGGCCACAAAGTAGATATCCTTCTGACTCTCCTTCATTCGGGAAACATATCCATCAAGATCCGTCAACTTCTCCTGGCTTTGAGTGGACGGCCATAGGGCGAGCTTCATTAAGTCATCCGTGTGGTCATCGGTTTCAATGATACCTGCCTTGATGTACCGCCCAAATTGAGCCCAGAAGTCCTCGAAATCGTTGTTGTCTCTCGCTTTGACCGCCTTGAACATGTCGACGGACTTGCGCACCAGCCTCTTCGATATGATGCGGAGAACTCTGCTCTTCTGCAGAATTTCTCGACTGACGTTGAGCGGTAAATCCTCGCTATCAATGACACCCTTAATGAAGACCAACCAGCGCGGTAGCAGGTCCTCGAACTTGTCCGAAATGAAGACTCTCTTCACGTACAGCTTGAGCAAGCTGCCCTGATCTCCAAACATGTTTTGCCGAAGGTTAGACGGCAGCGTCTTGGGGCAGAACAGTAAAGCGCGGAACTCAACATCACCCTCAACAGCGAAGTGCGTGTGCGCGAGAGGATCTGAAAAGTCCTTTGTGATGGTCTTGTAGAAGGCGCTGTACTCATCACTACTGATCTCTTTGGGCTTCCTCATCCACAAGGGCTTCAGCTTATTCACCTGGGACCATTCCTCAACTGTCCGCGGCTCGCGCTTCATCTTCTGCTTGCCCTCGGCATCCTTCTCATCACCGTCCGGCACCTCATCATACTCTGTGCGAGATGCCCATGAATACACTGGGAATTGAATAAACTCTGAGTAACGCTTCATCAACTCTTCCAACTTGTAGTTTTCCAAAAACTCCTTGCACCCCTCCTTGACATGCAGAATGATCCTGGTGCCCGAGCCATTCTTAAACGGCTCGGAGTCGTCTTCTCTGATGATAAATGAGTTCTCGGCATCTGACTCCCACCGATATTGCTTCGCATTAGGATCAGTATACGACCTAGTGACAACCTGGACACTATCAGACACCAAATAGGCTGAGTAGAAGCCAACACCGAACTGGCCAATGAGATTCATATCCCCGCTGCCGTTCTCTCCGAGAGCGTCAACAAACTTGGAAGTGCCCGACGTAGCGATTGATCCCAAGTTATTAATCAGCTCCTGTCTGGTCATACCAATACCCGAATCCTCGACAGTAATAGTGCCCTTTTCCTTATCGGCCTTGACAAAGACCTCCGGCTGCCCGCCATCCGTGCCAGAGCTAAGAGCGAGAAACCTCTTCTTATCGCAGGCGTCAGACGCATTGCTGACCAGCTCCCGCAAGAAGATGTCCTTGTTCGAGTACAGCGAGTTGATAATCAGGTGCATAACGCGCGACACCTCCGCCTGGAACTCGAACTTCTCCTCCGCGGGCGGCGCTTCAGTCTCCGCGGAAGCTTCGGCCATCATGCGCGGCGCGGGCGCGAGCCGGCACCGGCGGCTGACGGCGGCATGCAAGCGCGTCGTCGAAGCGGGGCAGGCAAAGGCCGAGCGGCGCAGCAGCACGGGGGCTTGCGCGGCGACCGGCGTGGCGGGGACGAAGGCAGACATGATGGGCGAATAGTCGGCAAAGGTGGCGGGGACGCGGGCGGCTGGCGGAAAGGAGAGAAGCGAATGGGGTGGTGGTTGCGGGTGATGCCAAGGACGCCGACGGGGATCGGAGGAGCGGCGCCTTGGGCTTAAACGCTCGCGCAGCGACGAGTCAATCTCGAGCGGGCTGACGGCGCACGCATCGCGGCGGCAAAAAATTCGCACATTTTCACGGCGCGGTCCACCCGTCGTCCGTTAGCGGTTTGATCTCGCGGTAGCACCAATGATGCGCGGCCACGCGTCTCTGGAGGCTTCTGGAAAGGACAGCCTGTCCCCGCTGGGTTGTGCATGCGCCAGACGCAATGGCCGTACATCCCCGCCCCACCTCAACCGGAACCTCCCACCTTTTCGCTTGACCCTCCTCCTCGCCCCCCCATCCACACGCAACTGCAACCCACACCACCATCGCAATGCCCCCCCTTCCCGTCCCCGCCTCCCTCCCCCCGCCCCGCGCCCCCACATGAGCGCGTCCTTCCCCAGCAGTTCGGGCTGGGAGCCGTTCGGCTCCTCGCAGCAAGCGCACGCTTTGGGCTGGCGGCGCCAAGCGACGCGCTCCGTTCCTCCCGCCTTCGAGAAGACGTCGCTCCCCTCCGCCGCGACACCAACTCCGCCCTTCTCCTCTGCAGCAGCGCGCTGGAACCAGCAGACCGCCGCGCGTCCCGCCCCGCCCGCCTCGCGCGCCGGCGCAGCCTTCCGCCATCACGAGCGCGACACCAAAGTCCTCGCGCGGTACGAGGCGGTGCGCGCAGATATCCACGCCGTCGACGCCCACCTCTCGCGCCTGCACGACGCCGTCGCGCGCGCGGAAAGCAGCGCCGCGGAGAGGCACGAGCAGGTCGGCCGCGAGCTCGCGCGCCTGCAGGGCGTGTGCGAGAGCGTCCGGGAGGACCTGAGGGAGCGGGACGAAGCGACGCGCCAGCGCGAGAAGGACCGCATCACCCGCCGCGAGGAGGACAGAGCCGCACTGGAGACGCTCGTCCAGCGTCAGTTGGACCGCAGCGCTGGGGAGATGGTCGCCGCCGTCGAGGACCGCGTCAGACTCAGCCTCACCAACGCGGCCAAAGCCACCGCCGCCACGCTTCGCGCGGCCGTTGCCGGCTTCGCGCGAGAGGCACGCCGGCAAGGGGAGGAGGCAGCGCATGTGCCGGAGAAGGAGAAGCCGCGGTGGAGCATCCCACTTGTGCTACCGATCGTACGCACAACCCGACGCGGCCGCATGAGAAGACCTACACGGCAGGCAGAGGCCCGCATATCTCATGCGGACGACCTGTACGCGCTGCGTGTCGCTAACCGCCCACGCCCGACGTCTCTGCGCGAAGCCTCAGACGACCGCGGGAATCGCCCCCCGTCATCCACGTCTGAGTCACACCAGAGCGAGGAGCGCGAAGGGGAAAGGCCGTCATCGTCAACAGGGGACAGTCTGTTCGGCGAGCCCAGCATGATTTGCACGCACCCCTTGGCAACACAAGGGGGGCGTGCGCCAAGGTCGGCTAGCCCGTCGGAGTCGGACAGCCTGCCGCTCGGGCCTTACATGCATACGCCCGAAGCCGCGGGCCGGAGCTATAATGTTAGGAGCCCACGGACAGGGAGGTTCTGCAGGTTGCCGGGTGCAGACGTACCAAGGCGAAGGGCTAGGGGGAATCGCGTGCGGGGGCAGCAGCCGCTCAGGGTGAACTCGCGGCCCAGGACGCGACTCTACTTGAAGCGGAAGCGCGCGTGAGGTGGGGAATATGGTGAGCGGACCAGTGGGAAGTTCGCTAACTAAACGTGGTGTACGAGAATTGGCAAGGCGGGGAAGGGGGGTAAAGTGGGGACATCATAGTCAGTTGTGGACAAGTTTCAGAATTTATACTGGAGGTACTACGATATCTGGAGCACAAAGCTCCCTATTTCGGCATTGCGCACTGAAAGTTTAGGGACACCCGTGAAACTTTCAGTTTTCGCTCTCTGAAAAAGGCCTACACTGTACAGATTCGCACTCAAGGGAGCACATCAAATCTAACGAAGAACGGGTAAGGATACCTCCAATATGCTGGTTCTCTACTTTCTCTGCCCCTTGGTGTGAGCTACTGGTCGCTACTCTACAGTACCTTTTGTCTTGATGTGAAAACTGGAAGCCTGGCGGGTGTCCTTAAACTTTCAATGCGCACTGTACAGTACGTAGGGTTTTGGATTGGAATTCTGAATCTCATTTGGTGATCCAAAATCAGTGTAGTCGTCATGTCCACGGGAGACGTCCTCCAAATCTGACGAGGTCCCTGCCAGGGGTCCCTGCCAGGGGTCCCTGCGAGGAAAACTCTTAATTCTGTCGATCTGGTCCCGAGAAAAGCAAAAGAGAGTTAGAGAAATGTAAAGTTTACTCGGGCTACCAAACCGCGCTCACCCTTGTAGATCCCGGCTAGCGCCGAGACCACGTACTGTACAGTAGTGGTCATTAGTTTCGTCCGACGCCGCCCCTCCATCGTCACACGCATTAGGCCCTGCTGCTGCTGTGGCGGCAGGGGCCGCCAGCGCCGGAACCTCGGCCGAGGGGCGAGCACAGTAGAGTACGACTCTTGACCATGCTATACTGCGACAACCCGGAGGGCGCGAGGTCACAGAACGGCCGTCGCCGCCGACTTAAATAATGCACCGGAGTGCCAACTGTAGTTCAGTACCATACTAAGCATGATGCTTAGTATCCTCCCCTTTTCATACCTCAAGCATGGCCACATCGAGAAATTCATATGCATCTCGAACTACTGTAAGTGTATGGTTCGAGTCGCCAGATTTGGATATTATCTGGGGTGCAAGCCCTGTGTAGGCAGTCGGCTCTTGTCCCTTGCGGCGCGGGTAGAGTTCAGTAAAGGGTGGCCGTAAAACCCTCGTAAAACCCTCGTAAAACCCTAGTGCGCACAAAGCGCTGTGGCTGTCTACCGGGATGTATGACGCACTCAGTCGCTGTCGCGAATTGAGGCGACGTGCACGCGACGTTCGGACAAATGCGATGCCGTACAGTACGTAAAATAGGCTGTTTTGTGGTGATTTGCCACTTTCGTGTCCACGAGTGAGCCACAATGTGCTGCGTGGGCAGTCCGGCCTTTCACCTTGTGATTGGTGATGCGTTAAAAAGGTTCTGAGTACTGTACTGTAGCTTCCGCTGCTTTGGTTGATCTGTATGCGCGCTCCCGACGACGCTGAAACGCCCTCACCGGCAACGGCAACCACAGAAACCGCCCCGTACAACGCCAATCGTAATGCATACCAACACTCGAGATAAGAAACGAGATTGCTCGACTGCTCAATCTCCTTCCTCCACTGGAGTGGGCCATCAGCATTTGCCCCAACCGTGGATGAGGGCAAAATCCGGGCAAGCGAATGGCCAGCCCACAAAAAAATATCATCCAAAGTGTCCCCAAGTGTTGATATTTATCGATGTGCGATGGATGCGCGCGATGGATGCGCGCGATGGATACACGCGATGGATACACGCGATGGATGCACGCGATGGATGCAGAGTCCCTGCTTTTTTCAATATATGCGTCTCGCTCGCGAGGCGGTATCCTATCTATCCTACCGTGGCAGGCAAAGCCATGGAGCTAGACTCCAGCTAGAACTGGTGCACAGTGTCCGTCGAGTGCCACGGCACCCCGTGTGACAGCCATCGGCACACGTGCAGCTGCGGTGGAGCAGCAGGCTCCGCCCCCCCGCACGCCCACTGCGCGCTCGCCAAGTGGAGGTCCCAAAGTTGCCAGCCGCACAGGAAGAATCTACAGTATCAAATAAACAAATCTCTGCGACGGCCCACGCCCAACTCCCCATTTACAATCTGCAACCTCGTCACCATCTTCCAAGCCTCGCATATATATATCATTCCATTCCATGGCAAACAGCTCCACTGCATCAAAGACGGCAACAGTGTCGCACCCCGCCCATTTATGACCACCCCCGCCCTGGACGCCTCGCTCAAGTGAAGGGAAACACACCTCTCCTACCTTTAACTCCCCTCGTTTCCCTCCGATGTCATCCTCATCCTGGTGAAACCCTTCGCCTCTTCCGTCTGCGCCTCCCCAACTCAGCGGAAACCTCCCTACCTCCCTTTCATCACCACCCACTCAACCACCCTACCCCACGCCATGTCCCTACCCAAAGAAAGGACCCCCCCGCTGACCTTCGCCCTCCCTCCCTTCCACTCCACCTTCACCCGCGCCCGTCGCACCCTCTCCTCCCCCGCCGCCCCGTCTCTCCTCGTGCACCACCGCACCGTCCGCGCCTCTCTGAATGGCCACGCCAGCTCCAACGGCCACTACACCCCCGACGAGCCCCCGCCCAACAACGGCGGTGGCGCTCGCGAACACCGCCAACACGGCCACAACCATACTGATGAGGACGTCGACGAGATGTTCTTCGACGGCCTCTCATATCCCGCAGAGGCCCTCGAGTGGTGCACCACAAACCCACCCTCTTGGAATTTGACCAGCAAGTTCAACGCCCTGCTCGACAACCGCAACGAATCCGCCGCGTCGCCGTTCTCCGCCGACGGCGTGTCCACGCGCATCTGCGCCGGCGATCACAACTTCTTCGCCCCCCGCGTCGAGCAGGCCTTTGTCGACACATTTCGCATGTCCTCGCCCTACATTAACGCTCATCAGGGCCTGGTCTTTGTTATTCATGTGCCGGGTGCGTTGCTGGAGGAGAGTCTGTTCGCCTCCGTCATGGAGGATATCGCCCTCATGCGCATCGTCGGTATCAAGCTCGTGCTCGTTCTCGGCCCCCAGATGCAAGTCAACCGCCGCCTGGCCACGGAGAGGATGCCCACCAAGTTCGTCGACGGCATTCGCGTCACGGATGCCCGCACATTGCAGATCGTCAAGGAGCTCGCGGGGAGCATGCGATTCGAGGTTGAGGCCACGCTCGCTAGGGGAGTTACCAATATGCCTAGTGCTAGTCGCATCAGCATTGTCAGCGGCAGCTTCTTTTCGGCCCAGCCGGTCGGTATTATTGAGGGCGAGGACTTTGGCTTTTCAGGTAAGGTTAGGCGCATTGACGTCGAGTCTATTAATCGCCGCCTGGATCAGGGCGACATTGTTGTCATTCCCAATATAGGGAGCTCGCCGTCGGGGCAGCACTTTAATTGTTGCTCTGAGGAAGTGGCGTCGGAATGCGCGGGTCAGCTGAATGCGGAAAAGTTGATTTTCATGGGGAATGGCGAGACTTTGTTCGATACGCGCTCGGATCATACGATTCCAAACTTGACGCTCAAGTCCGCTGAGAGATTTTTGCGACTGCGAGCGGGGGGGCTGCCCCCAGACTTTAGAAAGGCTCTCAAGTATTCGGTGAACGCGCTCAACAAGGGCGTTCGTCGAGCGCATATTTTGAATCGCTTTCTGAATGGCGTGCTCCTCATGGAGGTGTTCCATCGCGATGGAGTGGGGCTCATGGTTTCAAGAGACTTGTATGAGGGCTTTCGGAGAGCGCGATTATCAGACGTCAGCGGCCTCGAGGGAATCATTAAACCGCTCGAGGAGCAAGGTATTCTGAAGCACCGTCCGCGGACGACGATCGAACGGGATATCGAACAATTTGTAGTGATCGAGCGGGATGGAATGATTATTGCCTGCATGTCGCTAGCAAAACTTGAAGGGGATCCGCTGTGGGCAGAGCTGGGGTGCCTTGCTGTGCACAGAGACTACCGGAAGCTTGGAAAGGGAGACGCCATGTTGGGATTCACGGAACGGATGGCTTTCGACATGGGCGTCAGGCATCTCATCATCTTGTCGACTCAAAGCTTTGATTGGTTCAAGGAGCGTGGATTTTCTGAAGTCGCAGTCGAGGAGTTGCCCAAGACCAGACAGGAGAAGTACGACAAGAGTAGAAAATCGAAAATCTTCCACAAGCTGCTTGAGGGAAGCCGAGCGGTACGTAACAGATACATCATTGGGAAGTAGTTCCAAAAGTAGATTCAAGTCATGGAAGGTCGATCCTTGTCATTTGATGCTATTTGAATTGGAGTTTGCACGCATTGTCGTCAGTGCCACGAAGAACATGTCGTTTTATGCTATTCTATTGGTCATGGTGGTTGCAGTTGCTGTGCAGAGTCGGTTCAACGGCACAGTCTGCAGCCAATCTCAAAGAATGCCCCTCGTTGAGAGTTGGCAATGCTGTTTGTCATTGATATGCCTCGAGACTAACCACGTTTGACACTTTTCTGCTTGCGTTTGCGTTTTTTCTCGATTTTTGAAGGTTGATGAAGCCGAAGTGCTAAAACATTTATGAGCTCGCTACTGCTACCCAAGCAGTGAGTGTTCCTTGTCAGATGCCGTACGCAGCCTGTACGCAAAGCCGAGGACGCGTAGCTTTTGTGCCATACTGTACGCGCGAAGAAGACGTATACTTCATACAACATCGATGCAAACCAGTCATCTCAAAATTTCTTGCGTCAGTGCCACAGCTGGTTGGCCCGTTCAAGTCTATTCTTAGCAATGATGAGTTTCGTGCTTGTAGTCATCGGAGATCGTAATTAGCGTCCCTTACATTCCCTTCTCGTGTCCTGCTTGTCAGTTGGGAGAAGAGGGCAAGAAGAAGCTGCTTTACGGCATGTTCATTGCTCGAGACGTCTGCAGTGGCAGACGACTGTACGGTACCACACTGCACGTCGCAGGACCCCTCGCATGAGTCATCACACGTCAGGCACAGACCAAACTTTGAGCATTTCTCGAAGTCTGAGAACTACATACTGGAAAATGACGGGAGAGTTATGGAGTTACCGTCAATTGAGATCAGATGTGCTCAAACAACCTATTCGGGTTAGCAATCGCAAAACAGCCCACAGCTTGTGGACTCCACACAAGTTGTATGGCACGCGCAATGAATAGCGCATATATTCCATGAAAATGTTTTCTTGAGATGAACAGGCTAAGACCCGTCCGCACTCATGAGTGTTGATTCATGTACATGTGCGCTCCTTCTACCCATAGCTATAGGACCCTGCTCCACAACCGGAGGTTAAGCGATTATGTAGTTGGTCCGTATTGCCCTGCTGCTCGGCCTCTACCAGGAAACTCTTTCCAGAGCCTTGCTTTCAAAAAGCCCTTCCCGCACTCTAGAGGTCTAAAACATGAGCTCATAGACGACTAACAAGTCTGTATGCCCTGAACTAACTACATGGAGACGAGCTCTTGTTACAAACAACTCTTGGAGAGAATTAACAACCAAAATCCCTCTTCGCTAAAAACTGCACGTTCGTGCACGTTCCCATTGCTAATATCTACTAGAAAGATGTCTAATTTATTTCCTTGTCCGAAGTCCAGCTTCCTGCAGATATACGTTGTCCAGGAGGGTACCGCGAGTCCGTAGAATAGGAAACGTTACCGTCTGTGATTGTTGGGCGTCACAGAAACAATGAAACCTTGCTCGAAAGTAGATGCTTGCAATACCTATTCTCTCCACACCCTTTCAGATGTGGCAAGCATGTCTTTCACAAGTCAATCGAGTTTCACGGATTTTTGTTACACGACCGAGAACGTCATCCCGTAGGCCTGCTGAACTGAGAGAAAGCTTGAAATTCACCAACACAGAGGGCCAACATCCCTTGCCTCCCGCTATCAGTCCAATCATATAGCGAAACGTTAGCGCATGACCGCGCTCGCATTAAAAGCTACTGCCTCAGAGGGCTTCAGCGTTTCTCTAAACAGGGAAGGATTTGAGCCTGCAGCGGCTTCTTCGCGCACGATGCCCAGGTTTCCCTTGGCGACGAGTCGAGAGCGCAAACCCAGCTCGAGCACCGCCGATACCGCCATCATCATCCAACGGCGCAACAGCATGTGGCATGCGATAGATGAAAAGAAAAGAGCGTCAGATGTAGAAAGGATAACATAGGCTCATCACAATGAGATGAAAAAAGGTTGCGCGCCGTTGCGTATCATCACCCGTATGCCTGATTTCTACATCTTTCGATGTCTCTTCCCGGGGTTGTTCACTTTCATTGCAGTTGGGTCATGACAAACTTCCAGTTTTTCTGCAATTAATCGCACGGTTCACATGCGGCATTGCAGGACTCTGCTTGCTTAAAGTCGTGCTTAAACTCGTTATTCCCCTTGTAATGTGGATTCTCACATGTGCTGAAACAGGTGGCGCGATTCTTGTGTCTTCTTCTTGATGTTGATATCTGGAACTAGCCGTGTCTCGATGCGATTATCTAGCATCTACTGATTGAGCGATATAAAAGCTGCTCTCATTCTATAGGGCAGCGTCTTCTTCAATGTGATGTTGCACAAAGCATGAACAACAACAATGCGCAGGTATCAGGTATCATAGACTGTGAAGTCCCAATCGGATGCGCGACAATTTCGTAGATAAATGGGGTCAGCATTTAATCAGGCGACATGCTTTCAAGCCCACAAGGTTCTCCGTATCCCTGTGGCGCTGGAGGGCACATGGGGTATAATATCTGCCCTGATATGGCGGACCAGGTCTCTCTCGTTCGCGAATGCACGGACAGGCGGCGTTCGAAAGATGCTGGCGCAGACGCGACTATATCGACGGCTGTGAATGATTGTTATGAATAGTTGAGGGCTGTGCATTCAGAGCGAAGAATGCATGTGTATCGCAAGAGTGTTCTTGGTGGTTGTGATAACCACTGAGCAAAAGGGGAGGTGCCGTTGGCCAACGACATGAGAGAGGAATGACTGGGAGTCATATGAAGGAATCAGCAGAGAAGGAAGCATCGCAAAGTGGGAATGAGCAGACGAGTTCAATGAAAGAGTTGAAGGAATCACCACAGTGGTGATGCCCGACCCTCACCGGCATGCAAGATATCGCGTACAAGTACCCCTATGTTTGGGACAAAACCCCTGTTAGAGCATGGCCACTGGGGGTCCAATTTCTCGTTCCATTTCATTTTTTTCGATTAGACCCAGATTTCGTCTCGCACCCGTCACATCCAATCCAATTCAAAATGAAACAAATTGGATTTTGGAATAGAACGAGGGAAATCTCAGTCCAAAACAGAAATTTTTGGACCTGAAATTTCCAGGTTCCAATCCATTTGCCATTGAACAGCAAGGACACCCATCGCTCCACAAAGCGCAACATCACCCGCTCTTGCGCCCATAATTCATCCACACTTCTCCTCTTGGCGCCATTTTTCGCCACACTCGACGGTCAAGCTTGCCAAGCACCATGTTCTCCCGCGAATATTGGGCTCTGCCTCGCGGCAGCAAACTTAAAATCGAAACCGCGACATAGCACCGGTTCACAAATGGCGCGCAATTGCGCGCTTTACAGCGCTAGTTCCAATGATACTAAAAAGATCGAAGCCGTGTAAAAGAGATCCAGCACATCTTGGCATGTATGTGACTAAACCCCTCCAACAAATTTGCGTAAACAGGAGCTCTCAATTCGCGAAGACCATTCAATGGGCGCGGGAAAAGGGTGGACGGAACGTGAGACAGTGGCAGCATGTCGCGCCTTCATTGCAGCATCTGAGGACCCGAGGTCAGGACGCAGTAAAAAGACGAACGTCTATGAGTCACAGGTACGGGAGGCGTTTGAAAAAATTGTCAGCAAGGAACGAAACAAATCCTCAAGCTTCATATATTACGAACGAACCGGAGACGCCATTATACAAAGGTACAAGAAAGCGCGATAGGCTTGCATCAAATTCGATGGCATTGTATTCGCGATAAAGGCACGTGGGCCAACAGGGTCACCCTCTGAACGAGATGTTGAGATAGCAGCTCTGCCAGTTTACAATGGAGACTCAACTATCGGAAACATGTACTCACACTTCAGTGACAGTTCTCTCGATTGCGGCACTGCATTCTCGTTGCGTGCAGCTCTCGAGTTTTTACGTGGTACACATGGCTAGGAGATGATCATATCGTGTCGTCAAAAAGCAAAAAAGGCGCGCCAATCTGAGGAAAGTTATCAAGTCTCGACCCAAAGTCGCCAGCCAGCCCTGAGCACCGAAGGTGATATTATTGATAATTGCACTCATATAGAATCTTTGGAATCACCGCAGAGCGCAACAACAGATGTGACCCGAAAATCTCCGGCGGCGAAACAACGCCCTGTTGGAAACAAGCGATCTCTGTAAATTACAAAGCAGGTTGCTGCACTACATCGTGGGGCAGACGAATTCGAAAAACTGGCGGAAGCGGCTCATAAGCAAAATAAACTTTCCGAAAAGTTTCTCGAAGTCGAACAGCAGCAGTCTTTAATCAAGCTTTTTTCAATGCCTGGCACAGATCCGGACACGCGAGAAACGTTTATGGAACTTCTGCAGAAACAGGCGTTGAAGACCTTGGAAGAAAAGAATGGGAAGGTCAAAAATGTTGCTCGGTCAGACATCGGCATGCATTCCACTTCTGTAATTACAGCTACTGAGCGCATCAATGAAATGCCGCTGCGCGGAGATGACGAGGATGAAGCCGGAAATGCACTAATTGCATTATCATCCACCACTGGTTGAAGCGGGGTCGAATAAAGTGGTTTCGAGTAATAGCTAACGCTTAAGCGTTAGCACGGGGAGTAAGAAACATCTTCGTCGCCACAAGCATTAACCTCCATTTGTATTTGTCACTCCTCTTCTTACTCCCTACTGATTTTCACATCATATGTATACATGTCCCTAGTCTCACCGTTTCCAAACACTCCACTCCGCTATTCATCTCACCATTCCGCTCAAACATCCTACACCCCAGCCATCGATTTCTTTCCGCACCGCTTCCTGTATCCTTCCACCTCCGTTGTCGCTCAAACATCCTACACCCCAGACGTCTATTTCTTTTTACTCCCTTTCCGCACCGCTTCCTGTAATCCTTCCCCCTTCGTTCTCATGACTGCAGAGTATCCATCTCTGTCATCCTCCTCACGACCCCTTCTCATGAGCACTGTCCCCTCGACATCCGCGCTATCCCCAACACGCTTCCCGTTACCCTCCAAAGCCTTTTCACATTCCTCCTCCCTTTCGAAAATCAAGACTCAACAAATCAAATCCTCCACCAGATATGCAACCCGATTCTTAAGACACTGTGTGAGGGCCATCGTTGTGGCATTGTTCCAGCATCTTGATGCGAGAGGAAGGTCTTGATGAGATGCATTACACGTGCCGCAACGGGCGTTCTGGTGGGGGCGTACAGTGTACATGGCAGTAATCGCGCGGGAGATATAGCATTGTGGAATGAGTGGGTAGAGCCAATGTGTTCACTCTGCGGAGCGGTCCGCTCCTTCTCCGGGAGAAGGAAACAGACAACAGTAATATACTGTGCGAGGGAGGAATCGCATTGAGCGATCTGATGCCAATCACGTACATTGTATGTGGAAAGAATGGATCAGCGACGGAACGTTTGCGCTGCGGAACGGCGATGATGGTGATTTATTCTCTTGCTTGCTCGATTGCTTACTTGCTTGCTTGCTTGATTGATTGCTTGGTGCTCTCCGGACGACCGACAACCGTCCCCAGTCCCCAGTCTCCAGTCCGTTGCCGCTAAGATACTGTACAGTACCATACGCTACAGTACACTACACACTCAACAGTAAACTTTTATTGTCCGCACCGCCTCCTTTCTTCTTCACCCTGCATGCATGCATGCAGGATGATGCATCGCGCATATACACATAATCCATTCATCCATCTATCCATCCATCCACACTACACTTCACCAGATACACTACACTTGCCCTGTAGCACATAGATACTACTGTACCCGTCGCCAGTACACCACACCACACTACACTACACTACACCATCCATCGCATCTCCCCAATTCGCGCTTACCGCAGCACCGCGCGCAGAGTAGAGACACCCACCTTCTCTTCTCCCACATATCAATCTCCAACACACACACACACATACACACACACGCTCAATTCACCTCTCCCTCTCAAGTGTCCCGTCCAACCACATACACACATACACACACACACACATACCGCTCTAGTCTACTCCTCCTCTAGAGTCCCCTCCTTCCTTTCTCCACACATCCCTCCCTCTCCCCCTCCCCCTCCACCATCACCACCACCACCATGCTTCTTCGTCCCCACTCTCTGCCCCTGTTGCTGTTACTGCCGCAGCTGGCAACCCTCTCCGCCCTCTTCGTCCAAGCAACACCACCAACACCACCATCAACCCCAACACTGCCATCCGCCTACCTGCGTTCCAACGTCGCCGCATGTCCCTGCAACCTATTTCCGTTCTCGAACGATGTGGGGATGATTGGGGTGGTGGAGTTATTGGGCGGGAGTGTGATGTGTGTTGAGACACGGGTAATGTCTTTGGAAAAGGCTGGGGATTAAGGTGGGCAGAGGACAGTAGACAAGCGTGACGCAGCTATGCATATAGGTTATCACTGATATTGTGATGGCGGGCGTAGACGACTGGTTTGTGTGAAGAGAGCATAAGGTTTGTGTCGGTCTTGGAGGTTCGAAGGGGGTAATTGAGATTGAGAGAGTTCCACAGGCTGATGGATCGAGGTGAAGGAGGAACAATGGGTGCCAGGAGCGAGGATGTGTTAATAGTGGTGTGGTGATGGGAGGAGACGGTTATTGTGTGTGGTGATTGAGGTTTCGGTTGGTTCTGGTGTTTTCGCAGTTGAAGCGAAAGCGCTCTTGGGATTTACGCCACCTCTCCGTGCACCCTCCATATGTGTTCAATTAATGCATTTCTCAGCTTTCGATGAAGTCTCTTGATCTTCACGTCATCGGAGATATTTGTCAGCGACTCCAATCTCCGTTCCACAGTTTGATCTCGGTTTGGTTCCAAGACAATATCTGATTCGTCATTTTCTTCTCTGTAGAGCGCACCCCATCAATTCCGTCACTTGCGTACGTATCCTTTCTAGCCTCTACAGTCATATTGTGTAGTATGACACAGGCCTTTGCAATCATCCGCATCTTATCAACTGACCACAGCTCCGATGCCATAAATAAGTCTTTGTATCGACGAAAAAGAACCTCAAAGACTCTTTCAACGGATCTACGCATACCTTTTTGCAGACGTCTGAAAGTTTTTGTTTTGTTGCTGTTATCATCTTGTACAGTCTTAATAAAAATCTTCCAGTCGGGGTATATTCCATCCGTCAAATAATAAAACCATGTGAAAAGCTTGCCGTCAATAATGTATGATAGATTGACTTGAGGAAAGGCACCGCAAAGCACATTAGAGAAATGAGAGCTCACTTCCAGAATATTGAGATCATTGTAAACACCAGGTAGTCCGAACTGAAATGACCATATCCAAAGATCGGTGTCGCAAATTACTTCCATGCGCAGAGTTATAACGCCTTCCTTCCCAGTCATTAGCCCTTGCAGAGCCTTTGGACAATTCTTCCACGTCCATCCGGCGCAGTCTAAACATCCAATGCACCCAGGGAAGCCCCTCTTATTGAATTCTCTTTCAATTTTCCCAATATCAGACGCTGTTGGTTCTCTCAGGTATTCATCTTCAAAGCAGTCTATCACTGCTTTGCAAAACTCCTCCAAGCACAAAGAAGCTGTCGTTTCGGAAACATTGAAAAGGTCGTCTGAAAGATCTGCAGGGATACCATACGCAATTTGTCTTTGGGCACAAAGCACTTTCACAAGCGGTAAAATGCCAAAGCGACCAGTGGCATCTGGACGAAGACCCTGCCTAAAGTAGCTCGAATTGCGAACAACCGCATTGAAGACGCGATTGAATGTCATGCGAGGCATCCTGAAACGAGTCACGAATGACTCCTCGTCTTGCTAGGTTCCGTACTGAGATGTTCCCGGACGGATCTCATCCCCAGGCCAAAAGTATTTTCGCATATAGTAGCTGTGTGTTGCTGCAAAATCACATAGTTTGTTCGGGCACTTTCCCGGAAGAGACCCGCCGCTCTGTTGCTTCATGTTGACATGCAGCATTGACAGGTTAATCATCCGGAGCCAGGTAGCGGCAGCGAAATCGTCCTCCTCCCGTATTGTAGATTCTTCCAGGTGCTCTCGAGCGCCTGCCATGTTCTGCTTGTTAGGGCACGCTAAAGGATGGGGCCAGACTGTGTGAGTAACAACGGAGGTGCGCGGATCGATGTTTTGTGGGGCAGCCCAGCGGATCACGATTTTTTGTGCAATGATCTGGCCACTAGCCATTTTGGAGTGAAGCACGGGTGGGAATATTGCTCACTCCCCTCCAATCCAATTTGAGCTGGAATTGGACCCGAATCAATCAACAATTTTGAGCCACTAAATCGTTTACACGTTTAGTAGTTTTTGAATTGGACCCAGGCATGAGTGGCCATGCTCTTACAGAGACAAACAAAAAATGTCAAATTTTAATCAAATTAAAGATCAAGGTTTAGATAAGACGCCCTACTGGTCATTCCAAGCAATATATCTTCGCCACTGAGCACTCTGCTGCCAATGAGGAACTGCCATCTCCTCCCGAGCCACCCAAACTATGCCCGAAAAAATCAAGGGCGGGCATTTCTAATTTGTTCGAACACAGTGACCGGAATAGTGTCAGAAACCCGCCTTTTCGCCTCTTCCATAATCGTATGGAGCAACCTTATTGTTCTCATCGCTCACACTAGCCCCTGCTGATGCTGAGCGATTTTCGCGCCGTGATTTGCATCAAAAAAATATCGGTGAAACCAGATTTCATGAGGAATTTGTCCCGATTCAAGGGGCATTTTCCCCAAAAGGAGTCTTTCTGAACCGTTCGTCAAATGAATCCCCCAAAATGACGCCAGTTCTTTGTCCTCTTTCTGCGGTTTGGCAAGATTGCCTTGGATATGCCGCAGACAATGACGTAGAAACTGAAAACAACAGGTTACGGGAAGTAATTTTTTCTTTAAAAACGCCGTACTGTCCCAAACATAGGGGTACCCCCTTGTAAAGAAGTCATTGTTCGATAGATAGAGAGAGAGAGAGAGAGAGAGTCCCTTGCAGTGCGTCGTCCTCTCTCGAATGAAAGTTGTATTCAATGTAGTACCCTATGATGAAGGTGGAAGGACATCTCCCAGGCACAGGCAACGGAAGGTCGCCGAACGCACGTCACCAGCGCAGCGCCCGTTGCGCAACTCACAGTCACAAGCCACCGACGCGGGTGTGCCCTGACGCATGCCTCGTGCGGCAAAAAACGAGAGGCTCTTTAATCTATTGATCCGACACGAACGAATCGATCTGGGAGATATTCAAGGACGCGTGTCACCCATCAATTGATCAATTGCCCCGTGATGCAAAATATTCGCACCTCATTGGTTACAGCAAATGCACAACTCCGCATGCGCTGTCCCCTGGCCCGCGATCAAATCCGTCAACTACAAAATGTGTCTCCACAGGCGGCCAAAAAACCCAGGACGACCTTCGCTCTCCCCGCCATCACTTCCTTGCCGCGCCCCCAACTCTGCAGCCATGTCGAAGGGCCGGGAGCTCAATGGCCACCTAGAGCACAACTCGGAGCAGCTGGCCGACTTCCTAGCCTCTAAGGAGCGCCTCACCGAGCGCATTACGGGCGCTCGCGCTGACATTCATACGCTGCGTTCGCACGTCGCTGTTTCGCGGAAGGAATTTGACTCCCAACTCGAGCATTTGCGCAAGCAGGTCACCCCCTTGCTCCCAGCGGAGCAAGCTGTGTCGAAAGCGCCACACGCACCGCCGTCAACGCCAGCTGGCTGAACGGCAAGGGTGACGTGCATGTACTTGTAAGTTTGAGGGCGTGGAGATGCAAAGGAATTGCTTTTGCGTGTCAATTGAAGGCAAGCTGCTGTATTGTGTTGTAACGATACCGTTGTATGCATATTGTTTGGAGTTGGGTTCAGGCCATCTCGGCCGCCGCCGATTCATGGGTGGCCCTGTGTTTCTTTATAGTTTACTAGTCGATAATACAATACGTCTTACTTGTACAGAACACCCCTCAAACCGCCATCTTCATCGCGATCTTCTTGTGCGGACGGTACCCCTCAAGTGTCAAGTCTTCGAACGAAAAGTCTTCAATCTCCCCCCGCTCCCTAATGCTCAGTTGTGGAAACGGCCTGGGCTTCCTCTGTACCTGTTCCCTCAGCGCCTCCACATGGTTGTTATAGACATGGGCATCCCCTAGCGTATGTACAAAGTCCCCTGGCCTCAAACCAGTCACTTTTGCAATCAAGCACGTCAGCAGCGCGTAGCTCGCAATGTTGAACGGCACGCCGAGGCCCATATCGCAACTACGCTGGTACATCTGGCATGAAAGCTCGCCATTCGCAACGTAGAACTGCGCCAGCAGATGGCATGGTGGTAGCGCCATCTGGTCGGTCGCCACGGGGTTCCACGCAGACAGGAGGATCCGCCGATCATTCGGGTTGTTCTTCACTGTATCGATCACCTCCTTCAGCTGATCTCTCCCCTTTCCTGCATAATCCGCGTGCATATCTGTGTATTCCGCCCCAAAGTGCCGCCATTGAAACCCATACACTGGACCCAGGTCGCCCACCTCCCTCTCCGGAAACCCGCGCGTATCCAGAAACTCTCTCGACCCGTTCCCGTCCCATATATGCACACCCTTTTTGGCGAGCTTGTTTGAATCGGTGCTTCCCTGGATAAACCAGAACAACTCCTCTGCCACGGCGCGCCAAAACACCCGCTTCGTCGTCAATAGCGGAAACGAGTGCCGCAAATCGAAGCGCATTTGTGCGCCGAACACGGATATCGTCCCCACACCGGTACGGTCCCCCTTGCTTACTCCACGCTCCAGAATGTGTCGCACTAGGTCCAGGTACTGCTCCTCCTCGTGTGGTGGGCATACAACAGCCCTTGACGACGGCTCGTCATCGGGCGAGACCCTGACGTACTCCTTGATGCGGTACCTTACGCCGCTCTCCTCGATATCCCCAGATACGGACAATAAACTAAATGCCGGCTCCTTGGCCAGATCTACCGGAAAGAACCTGTCTGCCTTGAACTCTTTGTCGATTTCGGTGTAGTAAACCCTTTGTGACCAGGCTGGGATTTTAATTGCCTCGCGGTAAACGCTCTCCCCTCCAATGACAAAGCAATTCTCCACTCCCTTGCTCTTGAGGAGCTCTTCCGCTGCGTCGAAGGAGCCCGCAATGAGGACGTCATCAGGCACCAGCAATTCCGGGCGGGAGCGTCGCGACAGCACTACGTTGAGCCTCCCAGGCAGAGGACGGACGGCTTCCGGGAGAGATTCGTACGTGGCGGCGCCCATGAGCACGGCAGCGCCCAGTGTGAGGGTCTTGAAGTTGCGAAGGTCGCTCGGTAACCGCGGCCACGGCAGAGCGCCTGCCAGTCCAATGCCGCGCGAAGGGCTACATGCGGCCAGGATGAGGCTCGTGGAAAGAGGGGGTTTGGAAATCATCACATGAAGTTTGGGCTTGCGCAAATGGTGACGGGATGTGGGAATTGGGGAGCGGAGAGGTTGGTAGAAATGGCGTACGAAGGCTTGACTTGGGCAAGTTTGCATAGATTTGGGGAGGAGGTGGAGCAGTAGGAGGATTTATGGCGGGAACGTTTTCGCGCCAATTTTGTGTAACCTCCGTGGCACTCTCAGCCTTGACGGGCTGCTACCTCAAAGGGCAGAAACTTGGCAGCTCAGTGGAACCGTAGTCTCCTTGATGCTGCCAGGGGGTTGCAGGTTAGGTTATGTGGTGATAAAGCAAATCAAAACGCAACGGAGGAATCTAGGATCTGGTGAGCAAACTGTCCCTTCCGAATTTTTTTTTTGCTCAGAGATTCGAAAGAGCTGCCACAGGGCAACTGACTGTAGCAGTTGTTTATAGAGGTGAGATAAGTGGACCTGTCTGTCTGAGATATATCATCCTGGCGAAATCCTCGCTGGAAGCGTTCACTAGTTTGCCACAGCTCAGTTCACCTGGCTAATCGCTTCCCACACAAGTCAGAGAGCACTTTTCACGTGCCTGTCGACGTGGCCTGGGACAAGCCTGCCGAAGTTTTTCTGTTCCTGCCCCTCTATTCTTTTGAACACATTACCTCCGCAAGCCCCTCTACCGCCTCTGTATTGTTCATGTAAGGCGGCCACCTACTCCCGATGGGCAACCCCCTCCCCCCCTCTCATACTGCCAAACTATTGCACATTTGGCGGCCTCTCACTCTGACAACCGTACTACACATACTAGAGATCCACGAGCTGCATGCGGTGGAAGCGTCGGCGTTTAGGATAGGCTGGAGTCGACTGGGCATGTGTTACGGAGGGAAATGTACTCGGAGGGTTTATAACAGAAGTCATGGAGCGGGATTTTAATGGTGGCAGTGGTCTGGTGGTCGTAGACATGCGGATTGTGTATGGTGTGTTATGCGCAGATTCCGTGTTCTACATCGGCAATTCATGATGCCAATGCTTTGCAAATGTTTGTTCTTGTAGGCCTGTTTTACTCGGACAACACTTCACTTGTCCTCGAGCGATGCCACGTTTAGGTCTAAAATAGCTACGAGTAGGTCTCAGCTCTTAATCATAAAATTTGAGAAGGTGCCTCCCCTAGTTGCTCATGAACAAAGGCCCAGACCACACCTCACAAATCTACATGTCCAGTGCGTAGAGAAAAGTATCCACGACATTTTCTCACACATCTGAGATGCTCCCCTATTCGCCGGAATCTCAGCCCCCATTGTACACAGTGCAAAATCCCTTGAAGGCCTTGGGTCATATACGAGGTAGTTACCCGAGGGTGACAATTGATCAGGTCCTAGGTCGGAGATTCGCCTGCCGTGACACCAAATGCTGACCATACCGGTGCCCGGGTTGTGCCCGTTGTATTAACTGATTGTATTGCTCTGTGTGTAGGATGGGCAACGGATCAGAGGAACAATTTTAAATGGAGAGCCGAAGGTAGCAGCTAGACCAGACTTGCTCACAGCGTTGGCTATGGAGACTGTGTGCAAAAATAGTGACCAAGGCTAGACTAGAGAGGCAAGTTTCATGCTGAGTACGTTGCTCAGTTTGAGCTGAATTGGCTTTCGAGCAATTTTGCTTTAGACACCATAGAGATTCTTTCTTTCGCCCATTAACGTATTCGAGACATTCTGAACCTGTCAAAGAACTTCAACCCCCGTCTGTCTCCGAGCCCTCTTTTGACGTGGAGAATAGGTCTATGCGTGGCTTTCAGACAAGTCCTACCTACTGGAGACGAGAATGGGTGTTGTTGAAAAGCAGTGGTCTGGTTGTTATATCTCCAAAAATCTTGTCAAAACATATAAAACGGTTGTCTGGGAGTTAGTCGCACCACATGATCCACCCATACATGACCAGAATGTGTGGCTTCTTCTAAAACTAAAGTTATTGTCCAAAGTTGACTCGTATATACCGGAGGTCGTAAAAGCGGATACTACTGAAATCTCATAGGCAGTGTCAACTTTCCGCTAGATGCACAGTGCTTCTTCCTCAAATGGCGTGGGAACGGGAATCCATTATAAATGCTTTAACTCTCATTTTTGATTTCCTGAGAGATGGAGACTGTCATTCTGTTTATGCTGATCGGTACTGAGCATGTCCCATCGATACCGAAGATAATTGCTTTGGCTTCAAAGGAAATAGCTGCAATGTTCTGGTACGTACAATAGAGAGCACTGATTCCATGCGGTGAGTTTCGTTAAGGTGGACGGTGTTGCCCAGAGAGATTGACATATTATTTGTGGAATATTTGAACTGATATTACAAGTTGAGCAAGCACTGTGCAGACCATCACTCTCCGTTGCTGTACGCAATAGGGATTCTCGCAGGTGGTTTCATGCTTTGATTCTGTTGAGGGGAGGTGCTTCCGCTTGCAACAAAAACGCACAATTCGGACCTATTCGGACCTATTTACAACACAAAAGTCCATTTCACCTCTTGATCACCCATTTCCAAAGGGCCATTTTCAAAGGGCCATTTTGCGTTTAGGGGGCGATCAGGTGCATTTTTGAAGTGATCCGGGCCATTTTGGCCCCCCCCCCCCCCCCCCCCCCCCACCCCCCCAAACGCAACATTATCTCAAAACATAAACACAACTAGAATATAACTCACCAAGATGTAGCCGGAAACCCTGCCTTGCAAGATCTTGTTTTAAACTGAGCTTCAAACCAAACCACTGGAGCACCATTTTTGCAGTTATGCGAATGTACTGTTTAAAGATACTAACCGATGGTCTTCAGTACTATTTCCTTAACGGGATTGTTTTCGGAAGTAGCATCTCGCAGAACGCCGGGATAGCAGCTTTGAATACGCAGAAATTAAGAATAGTCTGTAGTTCCTTTTTAAACTGGCCTTTTGGTTTCGAAGCTATTTACATGCGGTTTTAAGGTGGTTTAAAAAAAGAGTCTTTTCCAGACACAACTAAAAACGACCAGGAAGAACATGAAGTTCTCACAAAGTTCTTTCTGGTCCCAAGGCAGAAGTCAAGTACGTTCGCGGGGGTACCGTTTCTCTCTTGTCGAGGAAGCGCAAGTCAAGAAAAAATATGTCGAAAAGTGTCCGCATAAGAGAACAATGGTCCGATAGACACTAGGAGTTTGTCTACTTCCGAGAGCAGGTTTGAAGAGTAGTCATATGTACAAAGCATTGCGAAGCTAGCTGCTCGAGCAATACATACTTTACAACCTGTTCAGTGCTGGTGCGATCCTGTACAAGTTCCCTTCCGCACCGGCTATAAATATTAAAGTCTTGACCGTGGTCATGACTGCCTCTTCCCCTTCTGTCCATGCGAGGCATCGTCAAGGCGAGCCCCCAAATGCGCCAGCACTCCGTAAGACTCGGCTGTCCTGCGCAATTCCGCTTGTCGAGGTCCATTTTCTGAGCCTCTTTCGCCCTCAGTCCGGACTCCTCCGAGCACCGCGACATCACCTCTGCGGCCCTTCTCTCCGCCTGATCCCTCCACGCCAAGTTTTCCCGCAGGGATTGATCGAAACACGGGCACCGGTGTAGATCGCAACGGTGGGAATTTCATATCGAAAGTCTTGCGTCCCTCGATTTTCTTTGAGTCTGTTTCCTCATTTGATTCCGTTCCATTGGGATGATCCCTGCCTATGTACTCGTTGATCGCTCCATTCGCCCTGGAGCTATGTTCTGCTAAGTTGGGACTGGCCATCGAAGTACGTAATTTTCCTTCGCAGACCTTATCAGACGGGCTGTGCGTCACTTCCTTCGGAAATACTGAAGGGCTATTTTGTCTCTGCCTCTTGGTTTCACGTCGGTCGCGGTCACCATGAGATGCACCAATGTGTTTCACCGACACTGACCTTTTTTCTGAGGACCTTTCTAAATCGTTCGTCTCCTCCCCTGGCAGTTCATCAACGGATGCTGATCGACGAGGTCTCTTTTTCTCGCCCTTTGTCTTTGTTGAATCGGACGGCAGACCGTTTCCCACTTCATGCGCAACCTTCTTCCAGTATCCTTTGACTTGGGTAGGCGTCTTCGGTGACATCAGATGAGCAATCCTTTTCCAATCACGGCCGTATCGTTTAAACAACTGTCTGAATTGCTCTCCTTCTTCTGACGTCCATGTACTTGTCTTGCTCTTCCGCGACTCGGTTTCTCCGTCTCTGCGCCTATTAGCATCCTTCGCTGTCCTGTATTCCATATTCGAGATCTGCACTTGATGGGCGCTGTTCTGGGCCGTAGGAGAGCTGCCTTTTCCGTGCGCTGCCGTGCTGGCGGAGGGTGTAAGTTTGGGCAAATGCACTGCATGGGTGAGCGCTAATTCATCGATTTCCCGCGCACTCATATTTCGGCGAAGTCTGCGGTGCGAAGAGGACGGTGAAGACCGAGGTGACGGTTGAGGGGAAGTTCGGGGCGACTGCCGCAAGGAAGGACTTCGCCAGCGAGGCAAGACCGTCAGTCTTGGATACGAAGAGTTGTCAAGGCCTTGACGAAGTTTGCGTCTATTCTTTCGGTAAAATTCGCGGTAGTGTGTGGAGGACTTGCCCTGGATTTCCATTTCTGCGGACACCTTCTTCCAGTCAGTTCCGTACATGGCGATGACTCTTGAAAATTTCTCAATATCGATGTCAGATACATCCAACTTCCCGTACTCCCCCATGATTCGCTTCTTAAACATCATCTTCATTGATTGCAACTGAGCTTTGTCGATATGAGCGTTCCCGCGACTGCCTCCAAGATCCATCAACTCAGAACTGTGGCCTCTGTCAAAGCTAGAACTAATAACGAGGCTGTTGGCTGACAAAAACGCCCTGGTTTGCTCTTCGACGACTTCATCTGATTCAAAGCAGAGCCTCTTCTTCGCAAGGTTCACTATATGGGATCGCAAAATGCCCTTCCTCTTCATACCAGACGATTCCTTCGCCAACTGCTTCAGGCCGAGATCAAGCTTGTTCATGTAGTAGAACTGACTGCACTCTCGTGTCGATTTATGTTCGAGAAAGCTTGCAATCTTTCGAAAGTTTTTTGAGTAAACTATGAATTTCTCAAGAAAAACAAGCTTCTCCTTAAAGTACCACGGGTTCACATGCTGCGAAGCAGTAAAATCTGCAATAGGATCCTCAACAAAGACCGAGCCGTTGTCACATGGCACAAAGGAACAGTTTTGATCAGGAATTTCCGCAAGAGTCTTCGACCAAATGTCCTTCGAGCCGGGAGTGCCCCCTGCTGCCGCAATCTCAGCTAGCAATGCGTCTACCTCTGTGTTGCTATTGAGGTGTCCATTTGCGCTCAGCGAGGGAAACAATTTCGTACTCGTCCGCCCTGAACTTGTACGTGACGTTAAGAGTGCAGAATGGCCCTTGGTGCGAAGAACAAGAAATCGGTCTCGTTCCTTCGTCGCTTCTCGCTTTTCTCTTGACTTTTTGTCTCGAGCAGACTTCAGTTTGCGAAGCCAAGAGTCCCTCAAGCTTACGTACTCCCGGCGAAGTGCCCGATTTCTGGCATCCGCCTCAATTTTTCTCTTCCTCACTTCACAAGACACAGCGGCGAATACTTTTCGTGAGACAACTGGCAACGTGGTCTCGAAATCCTCCTTGATGCTCTGCAGGCCTCGGTCAGGATGACTGCAAACGGGTCGCAGAGCTGCAGATGCGGCAGCTGCTTTGGCATGATTTTGAACAACGATAAGTCGCAACGCCGCCTGTGAAGGATCCGTAGACACACTAGGTCGGAAGTCATCTTGGAGATCAGCACCTGCCGCAATTTGCTTCGCAATTGCAAACATGGTCCCCAAGTCCTCGCTCATAGTAATCGCTGCGGGGACTCGTTCAGGACTTGATTCCACCTTGACAGATGACATAGACTTGAAAGTCCGCAGAGGTATGAGTTTGTGCTCTACTTCGGTTATTCTCTTGTCAATCCCATGTATTGCTTGAATCAGGCTGTCGCTTTCAGGCATGCCTTTCCCCAATTGCGTGGCGGGTTCCAGGTATTTCCAAACTGCTGAATGAGGCAGGCTGAGAGAGCTAAGCGGTTTGGAGGTTCCCTCCGCATCATTCTTACGTGCGCGGGCTCTCGGGGAAGACCGGAGCAGAGACATTGCTGAAGCTGGCACAGAAACGGGACCATGACAACTCGCCCCGTTGTCAGCTTCATTTGGATGCTTCTTGGGGTCAGTAGTGGACGTCACAGGTCGTAAGAGCGAGCGCAGATCTGGCAGAGGATCTGGAGACGTAACAGGCTTGCCGACCGCAGTGGATGAGGGGGTCAAGCCGGAAGACAAAATTGAACGAAGATTCAGACTTGGGAGCGCCGGGGCCTTGAGTAAAGGGCTGTGGCGTTCCACTGGTTTCTTTTCTTGCGGGGGTGAACCAGGTGCCGGCTTCAACCGTTCTGACTTGTTCTCTACCTTCTCTGTTTGGGCGCCTTTTCTCACGTCGAAAGCTTTGTGCTGAGCGACTGCAGGTTCATCAACTTTTGCACGCGAACGTGATGCATGCAATGCCCTGACTAGTGTTTGCGGAGTACTCCTTGAGTCTCTAGTCGATACTATGGTGGGCTCGAGAGGTTTTGTTCCTGTTAGCACCGGTATCGAATGAGTCTTTGGCTTTGGTGGAGGTGGCGGTGTAGAAGCTGGTGGAGTGAGGCGTTCCCGCAGTGGCATTCTGTTCGGGCTTGCTGCTCGTGGGTTTAAAAGCTTTGATAGGCTCTGAAGGCCTTCTTTCCAGACTTCGGACTCCTTCGGGACGTCGGTACCGTCTGGTAAGCTCTTGCTGTTTGCAGATATACCTTCAATATTTGTTGCGATTCCGACAGCCGCATTCCCCAAGGTGATAGGCGGGACATACCGCTTTGTTTGAGAGGATACAATGGCGGCTGTCTCCTGAGAACCTTGTCGCAACTTTGCAGTGGATAGCACCCTTCTCGCTGCCTCGCTTGTGAGCATTGTCTTTCGTTCGACGAAACCTCGCGAAAAGTGGCTCGACGGTTCCCTTTTCAGGGCTGCAGCCGGGTTGCGATCGGCTAAACTCATGTTTGTAATGGCTCTATCTCTCGAGATACGTTGTAGAGGCTTTTGACTGGCAACTCTGGCCTTCGCGATAGGCGCATCCGTTCGGCATTTCGAAGGTACGTTCTGTTTTTCGCTGAGAGGAAACGAATTTCCGTCAACTAAGCCGCCCGAGGCACGCTTTCCGATATCCTGATTACCACTTCTCTCCGTACTGAATGACTTCAACTCAGGCGCCGTACTCTTGCCAAACCTGCGCATTCTCTCGACGGGTATTGGAAGATCCCGAACAGACCTTTCCTTTTCCCATTGCGTCCCACTCCCGTCGTTGGCCATCGCACCATTACATTGCGTCGTAGTCGACGTTCTGGCCTCGCCGTTAGGTCGTCCGTCGTTCGATGTTCGTCCCCCAGCCGCAGTGCTCTTGTTCGAAAATGAGTCCGCGGCCGGGCTTCTAGACCAATCCCCATGTCCTGGTGGCAGCATTGGCTTCTTCTTGCCAGGAAGTTGTGGTGTACTCCCTAACGCAAGCGGGCGTTGTACCCGTTCCGTTTGTGCGGTAGCATCAAACTCAGAGGACCTCGGTGACTTAGCGTGGAACCGCGGCGAAGCCCCTGTCTGCCATTTAGCGGGTGGAAAATTTGCCGACGGTTTAGTGGACGGCAACGACGACGGTGCGGAAACATCGGTCCTGAGCGCGGCGCTCCCTCGCTCCGCATGAGTGAAACCCATGCGTGACAAAATCGGGGACTCTGGCTTGGACGGCATGCCCCTATTCGCCCCTCCGAGGGGCACATGCCGTCTGATTTTCCTCTTGAGCGGCTTATGAATCCTAGACGTATGCCTGAACCAGGGACCGTATGGCGGCTCCCCCCTCCCTGAGCCGGGTTCCGTAGCCTGGCGCCGCGAGTCCAACTCGTCGCGGTGCGCCGGCAAGTCTGCGCGGTAAAAGGGCCCAGGCACCCCTCGGTACGGAACGTGGTGCTCTGAGGGGCCGCGATGGGGGCGGTGGTCGGACCGCGGGGGTCCAGACTCTATGCGGGACTTTGGGGGAGGGGGCCGCGACGAACCGTACGGCTCGGGGCGGTAGGGAGGTCGATCGGGAGAGTCGATGCGGTGCGAGGGGCCTGGCTTTCCTCGATAGGGGTGATCGGTGTGATGGTGCTGGTCCGGGCGTGGAGGGTCCGTTGGGCGTTGATCGGGACGATGTGGGTCATGGCGATGGGAATCCAATCGAGAAGAGTCGGGGCGGTGTGAGTCCGGGCGTTGGGTGTCGGGGCGAAGGGAGCCGCTCGGCGAAGGCGAGCGGCGGGGGTCCAGTCGGAGCGAGTCCGGGCGAGAATGGTCGAGGCGACGCTGGTCCAATCTTTCCCTGTCGGTTTGATGTGGGTCTCCGCGAAGCGCGTCGTCCCTATGCAGAGGGGCGTCGGAGCGGCGCGGCGGCGGGGTTCTTGGGGGGGAGCGAAGGCGTCCTTGGAGGCTGCGGGAAAGCGGCGGCGGGGCGTGGTTGTGGTAGTTGGTGTGGTGGGGATGCGACT